TACTCAGTATTCACTGATAGGAGAGTTATAATGAGAAAGCTCGGTCAAAATGAAATGTTGACCCAGGTACAAAACTAAAACCAGGTCTCTGTGGCTTTCCAGGGTGCAAATTAGAAAAAGAAAAAATTATTACAATAAACAATGACGTGATTACAGCATAGAGATGCCAATATTTTATTTTGTTACAGTTGTAGCCATTGAAATTCTATTAATACATGGCTTAATTTTTTACTTGAAATAGGAATGGGATTTGTTAGTATTAGCAATGCAAGAGCAAACCAACACTATATAAGCTTAGTTAACTGTTATTTGATAGCTTTTAGAAGAAATTTCAGTAAAACACGCACTTCTAAGACAGCTAACTTTAGTGAAAAAAAGTTGATTACCTTTGATTAATCAAAATGTAAACCATTAATGTTCAAAGCTCCTTTGGCTAATCGAAACATAAACCATTAATATTCAAAGCCATTTTTTGACCACCTACCACCTAGAATACCAATTTTCTCTCAAAGGTGATTACTACAATCAATTTGTATGTATTTGACAGGTACTTATTTTGAGTATATAGGAGAGTTATTAAATTACTATTTATCTATTTATGCTTATACCTCACTTTATTCCAACAGCAGCTCATGGAAAATTATTTCCATGCTAGAATTTTAAAACTGGTCTTTTACTTTTTCATCTGCAACATAGCAGTCTTTATTGTGGTCTTAATTATACACAGTGCAGTATTGAACGTCAGAGTGTGCTTTGACAACTTCTAGGGCAGTAGTTCTCATTGTGTGGTGCCTAGACTAACATATGCACTCTTAGAGATGGACATTCAAGGACCTATTCTGAGTTAAATAGTAACTAGTTAGCAAACTAGTTAAACAAGATCTAATTCTTATGCTTCATGACAGTTGAGAACAACTGGCATGTGTGTATCCTGCTATACCATGACACAAATTTGTAAGCATCACTGCAGTATACAAAATTATGTAATAAAAGCCACAGAGTTTACAGGGAAATGAGGATGGGGTACACAGCAATCAAAAACTTATGATTGCAGGCTGGAGAGATGGCTCAGTGGTTAAGAGCACATTCTGTTCTTGTCAAAGACCAAGTTTCAGTTGGCAGAACCCATGTTGGGCTGCTTACAACTACCCGAAACTCCAGCTCCAGGGGGATTCAATGTCCCTGCTCTCTGAGGACACCTGCACACACGTGCACATACTTACCCCAACACATGCACATGATGAAAATTAAAAATAAATAAGAAAAATTATCATTGACACATTTAAAAACAAAAAGTGGGGGCCTAATCAAAAGTTAGCATAGTTTTTACGTGTTAAAGTGGGCAGATATACAAATACTATGGTAAAAATGGCACTTTCCCTTGAAAAGAAGTGATGATTGCTGTGGCATTTGTTGTTAAGGGAGTTGCTCCTTAGAAGTTATTGTGTGCTGGTAGGAGGAGAGTCATCTGAAGTTGGTAGTTTTGATATCAGATGTGGTAGGTGTGACTTGTAAAGCACAAAGTGATTCGAAGTAGTTGATCATGCTGAGGTGTATGTATACGAGCAACTTGTGTTCTTACATGTGGCTCAGTATAGGTGGTTTCTGCTTTCCTTATCAATGGGGGTGTGCATAATCAAAAATTCAATACTGGAGCTTTGTCCCACAGTTTCCTCTCTCTATATCTTTTGTGTTAGAAGAAATTTGTCTTTTCTTTTATATAAAAGAACAGAGTCTGGTAGTGTAGAATTGAATATATATGTGCATGCATATATCCGCACTTATACATATATTGCACAGAAAGTCCATGAACTGCACAAAATATATATGTTTCTACTTAGTTTATTATCTCTTAGGGCATCTTTCATATCATCACACAGAAATTAGTCCCTTAAAACATGCTTGCAATAACTTACCCTTCTCCCATACTTCTTACAAAATCATTAATGTTTGTTCTCTCTCTCTTTCTCTCTCTCTCTCTCTCTCTCTTTCTCTCTCTCTCTAACACACACACACACACCACACACACACACACACACACACACACACACACACACACACTGTGAGGAATGCTTCCCATAAATATAGTGATTAAAACCAAAGCTTTAGAAGTCTAGAACAAGCAATGAGTGATTCTGCAGTGGGGAAACACTGAAATAAAATGAGTTGGTGAAAAAACATAACATATCTACTGAAAAAGGAGAGAGAAAGAATTCCCTTCCCATTTATTTATTTCTCACTTCCACCTTTGCTAATACAACTTATCCACTTTATGAGATAAGATATTGAATTGACCTTGTTGGGATTTCTATCTATCACTCTTGCTAGTTGACATCTCTAAAAATGCAGCTTACACTGTTAATCCATTCACTTCAGCAAAACATGCCTAAGGGCATCAGATTCTTCAGTTTATCACTGTTGGATTTCAAGGCCATGACAAGCTGAGAAGATATAGCTGATTTGGGTGATGTGATGACTTGAGCACTAGAATCTGGGGCCCCTAAACCAGCAAAACCTGCAGCAGTGGAGGCTTATGCAGGTGTCAGATGTTTTTCTGTGACAAGGTTGGCAGTGGACATAACTGCTTCCAGCTGGGCACATTACCAGGCAGGGAAGCCATAATGATTGAATAATTAAATCACATAGGCTTATGATCATTGTTCTTATTAGAAGATATCATTGCTTTGGGGTAATTTATTGTGTGAAATAGGATTTTCATATAAACACTGTGATTTGCATTTATATGTAATATATTTGCATATATATCTAAATCAAAATGGCTTACTAAAATCAAATCACACAAAAAAGGGATGGACTATCAATATAAAGATGTGAAAGATGTTTAAGGAAATGTAGAAATTATGAAGATTAAAGTAACATTGTACCTTGAAATTCAATCTCATTAGTTGTGTTTTTCTTTATCTGAAAGCAGCAGGAAGAGAGAAGCATTAACTGGATCCACCTCTGTTTTGCAATTAGGTTTTTGTACCTTGAAATCTTAAACTCTGATATTAGTAATAAAAGACATAGAATATGAGAGTCTTATGAAATGAGTAGTTCATCTCTAAATTTAAGACTTGCTTTCCTGCCTTCATTTCCCCTCAGCGTCCTGGCATGGATGGGAGATAGAAAATTGAGCAGAGAGTAGAGGAACATTTTAATTCATAAAAGAACATTCAGTCTCATGGGGCCTAGAGCAGCTGGTCTCAAGCAGACAAGGACATTACAGAAGGTCTCTTTCCCTCTTTCTCTTTTTCCCTCTCCCATTCTGTCTCTTGTTGCTTTGAACTCCCAGCTGTAATGACTATTAATCAAAACTCCCAGGATCAGCTCAGGGTACAAAATTGAGTGGTGATTTGGAAGAGCAAAGCCATTTGTTTCTTGCATTCACCTATATCCAAGGCCTGCTAACTAATTTGTACAGTTCAGTGTAAAATGAAGATGCAAAGCCCCTCGTGCAAGAAGCAGAACAAATGCCATCACAAATGCTAACATGAAAACATTATCTTCACTTTTGACTTATCAATAGTGATTTTTGTCTGCTATTTACTGCTGTTCTTTGGAAAAGTAAATTTTTATGTCACTAGTATGAGTTTTTCCTTCTATCTTTTTATGTGACAATGCAAGTCTCAAAAGTGAATTAAGAATGCTTTAACTTATGTATGGAATTTCTAAAATGATACACTTTGTATTTTGTAGCACATACATGCATATGTAGATTTTTCTCACCAGCAAGGTAGAAATGCTGCACAGAACTAATTTAGCTATTTTATACTGCTGCTGCTGCTACTGTTACTACTACTACTTTTACTTCTTTTTTTTTTTGGTAGTGTTAGTGCTGACCCCCAAACACTATGCAAGTGCTCTACTATTGAGCTGTATCCTCAGCTTTTTTCTTTGTGTTCTTGATAATTTAATTGTCTCCTCCTCCTCCTCCTCCTCTTCTTCTTCTTCCTCTTCCAATCTTTTTTTACACCCCAATAATTATCCCCCTCTTGGTCCACCCTCTGACTGTTCCTTATCCAATACCTCTTCCGTGTCTCCAAGAGTATGTCCCCACCTCACCTATCCTCACCCCACCAGACATCTCCACTCCCTGGGGCCTCACATCTCTCGAAGGTTAGGTGCATCTTCTCTCACTGAGCTAGAAGAAGTTTTTATCTCTTAATCGCCTATCTACCAACAGTCTTCACCTTTCCCTTAGTGATGAATAAGGAGAGACTGGAAGGTAAGGAAATAACATTCATTCCCTTTCATTCTATGTTACCAATTTCAGTTTGAAAGTTTGGGCAATACAAAGAAGAATGAAGAGAGACAATGAAACAGAGAACTTGAATCATTCTATTTCTTAGAGTACTATTAACTTCTTTTAGTAATCTAAGCAAATCCTAGTCAACAGAGAAAGCATGGCCTTGTGGAGCTGTCCAAGTTTAGAACTGTTGAGTAACATGAAACTATGATAGATGAGCTGTGTCTGTCTTGTTAGACTCTACCATGTGTGAACAGCTGACATGCATATTGTATGCAAGTTTCTTTTCACACACATGCTTCATGAGTCTTTGGACCCACATATAAAATACAAGTTCAAAGATTCAATTACAAATAAATAGAAGGCAATAAAGTATTGAATGTATAACTATTCTTTATGTATGGAATGTGTACCTCCTACAATAATGGGTACCCAAGAAGCTGAGACCTATGAGAATCCGGGAACCTGCAGGTTATCCTGAAGGTTCCAGGACATATTGTATATGAAGGGACTAGACTCTGCCAATAGTATATCTGTATGAACTGTCCTTGAAATGATTCCATGTACTTATTTCAAACTCAGGTGAATAAATATTACCTTTAGATAGATCTCTTGGAGATAACTTGGATCTACAACTGCATTTGTAGTTTGGATGACCATCTAGATGTTTTGGGCTGTAGGTGGAACCAGAGTCTGGATATTGATGATCTCCATATTCTTAACATTTTTTGTTTGCTTGCCATCTTCTCAGGATTTCCTGCTGGAGAGCTGCAGAAGCCTTTCTTTTGGGGAACAGAATACCCTCGGTGAGTAAATCTGAAAAGACACCAGTCCTTGACAAGTTAGCAGGGAAGACATTGTCACTTTGGCAAAGGACAGAACATCTAGTCTGTCTTAGTTAAAGTTCTAAGTGGTATAAAGGGATGCTGTGACCACAGCAACTCTTATAAAGGAAAACATTTAATTGGGGATGGCTTCCAGTTCAGAGGTTTGGTCCATTACCATCATGGTGGGAAGTACAACAGCACATAGGCAGACATGGTGCTGGAGAGATAGCTGAGAGAGCTCTACATTCAGATCAGGAGACAGCAGGAAGAGAGAGTGACACTGGGCCTTGCTTGAGTGTCTGAAACCTCAAAGCCCACCCCCAGTGACATGCTTCCTCCAACAAGGCAATGCCTTCACAGGACTAGAATCGCCACAGCCCTTCTATACTTAGAGAAGGGAGGAGATGTCAGGGGCAGCCCTGCTTATGCACTGAAGGCCTAAAATCAGCCATAGGCCTAAAATCCGCAATAGGCCTGTCATACATGTATACTAACACCAAGTCTTGGGTCTCTGTGGAAAAACATCGAAACAGAGGGCTATAAGCTATTATAAACAGGCAGCTTTTGTGGAAATTTACCAGCCTGGGTAGTTATAGACCTTGTAAATAGGTAGCCTTGGTGGATAATACCAACTTAGATAAGGACAAGTGAATCATAGACAGAGTCATAGTGACCTGTCCCCTGAACCTTCACCCAGCCGATATCGTGTTCTGAAATATATCTGTACTCCCCCTGAACACTCATGCTCTGGTGTCATCCCCTTCCCCACATTCTGCCTTTTTGTGTTTATAACCCCTGTGTGAATAAGTAAAAATTATGATTTGATTTAAAAAAATTTAAAAAATTAAAAAAATTGCTTTAAGAGAACAACAAAAAAAGAATGTGAATTTCACCTAAAAAATACCCTTATAGAAAAATTGAGAATAAATATTGAACAAAAAAAACTTTTTTGAGCATAACATAATGTACATATGTATCAACTTATAATAAAGTACCTCAAAATGTATTTTTATATCTATATAATAGTGAAGAATAAACTTAATATAATTTTTAAAAGCTAAAAAATGATTAGAAATGTACACACTTAGTTCATAAAATTAAAAGTTTAAGTAATTCTGTAAGGGCTCTTCAATCTGAAAAAATCCTGGCATTCTTTGATTCCGCTTATCATAGACAATTTAATTGAGTTTTCTATTGTATATTGTTATATAACTATAACTGAAGACTTGAAAATGGTCTGCTTATGTTTGGAAATTATTTATTTAGTAATTTGTTTATTTGGTACATGGGCATGGGATTTTTATAGAAACGCAAAAACCAGAAAATTAAGAATTCTTGTTAGTATTGTTAGTATTAACTTAGGTTGAGACACAGTTGATACTTGAGTAAGCCATTTGTTTTCTAGTAATGTATCACTTCAATGGATAGAGGCTAAGTATTGTTTGACTACTTTGTACTGGAATATAGAAATGGTAGACGTTACTTCAGTGAGCTGAATTCCCAGACAGTTATCTATTTTGTCTTAATTGATAGAAAGCCACCAGAACCAAAGGAATAGGTATCTTTTTCTCAGGCTGATCAGTGTGGCCTACATGTGAATGTTGGGTCTAGGTTTGAGGACTGAAGCAAGCCAAATTATTTCCAAGGGAAAGAATCAGGAACACAAATAATATTAAACAACACAATCTAAAAGTGTTCCATGAAACTGTTGCTATCCTCTCTTCCCTTCCGTTATCTTCATTCCTCAAGTTCTATAAGAAACTTATTTGTCTATGTTTAACATCAAGGCCTGATGACTCTTTTTTTCTATGTTTTTCTGGGAAATTCTATTCTCTATTCCATGACTGAAAAACAAGAACATGAAAGAGGGCTCACAAGAAGATTTGGTTGGTCAGAGAACTTGGTTGTTTTTCCAGAGGATCTGAGTTCAATTCTTAATACTTAATACTGCGAGATGATGCTCGCAACCATCTGTAACTCTAGATCCCAAGGATCCAGTACCCTCCATGGGTATCAGGTACATACATAGTACACAGACATACATTCAGGCAGAACACTCATACAGATAAAATGAATATTAAAAAAAAAGAACTCGGCAACATTTAGACATGAGGTTTGCCAATTTTTTTTGGTGGCCTCAAAATTGCTGATCTGGGAATTTTTTACATAAGTAAGGCTTGCCTTGCACTTGTAACCTTCTTGCTTCTTCCCCTTAAATGATGGAATTACAGACATGCTGTGTTTTGTCTTTTGGAAGAAAAATTAAGTGGTAGAATGGTTTTCTGTGTTTAGGGAAGTCAGCAAGTGTTCAGCTAGCAACTTTACTGGACCAACAGGCTTTTGAAAGCACGGTTAAATTTTAGATAAGCACGTGGAAGAAACTTTTTATTTGGAACTATGCTAAGACATTAATGGGTCACATTAGACAAGTAAACTGCTAGTCATTGGAAAGAAAAGCAGGTCTTAGTACTTTTTGAATGTCTTACTGTTTGTTTGGTTTTTATTTTTTACTATAGGCTCACTATATAGCTCAGGCATGTCTCACACTTCTATCAGTCTCTCAAATGCAGTGCCAGGATTATAGGTGTGTGTTCCTATGGTCCAGCTTAAAAAACTGTTTTTAAGATAAGATGTTACTATGTTGTCCAGATTGGCCTCTAACTTTTTATCTTATTATCTCTGCCTCCCAAGTATCTGGTAGGAAATTGAGCAGGATTTTATAACTACTTTCATCTCAGAGGTTGTTTTTTATTTTTATGATTTTCTGATACAGGAGTAGGGTACCCCCTACTTGATAACAGCCTGAGGTCACAGTGAATCCAGACAGCAGTATAATTGTTTTGTAATTGACAACAAATCTTGTGTATGTGTTAAAGGCCTCAGATGATAGGAAAAAAGAAACTGAACAGGTAGTAAAGTAACACTGTTCCTTTCCCCTTTAGGGAGCTCAATTTTTAATGCAGAAAGCCTTTCAGTTTCTGTCCAGCCAGTTATATTCTAAGAGACACGAGTTGATTATCTTATGGCATGCTAATTTAAATAACGTGCGTTGGAAAAAATAGAGGATATCAAAGTAATACTGTAAAACATTATCATTATAAGATTTAGTCATACAAAATTACTTTTTCTCTGTCTTCCGTCTAAAGGATTGTGATTTTGTGACTGAGAATTGAGATTTATAGTGATTCAATCATTTTTGAATTCCCTATTATTCTTCGCAAATAAAAAGCTTGTTGGAGCAGTCCCTCTTAAGGGACGTTTATTGCAGAGTACTTTCTATATGTTTCCATTGCCCATCCCTTAAATTTACCCAGTAAATAGCATTGACTAAGGGTGTGTAGAAGACTAAGAAATCTGGGAAATCAAAATGTTGTAGGTCACACAGTGCTAGCTACTGCTGCAAAAAAATTAGTAAAAAAATTAGCACTGTGTGAAATTACAAGTTTGTACCACACAGGCTATGATAGCTCTATGATTGAAATGTGTAATTTTACTCTTACTTCTTTAATGAAGGTTTGTAATGATGGAAAAACAGTAGGAAACATTTTTTTCAAATGCAAATTACCTTGCAGGAAAGAAATAACAAAGGAAAGAATTGCCACCAAGGGGAAAAATTAAATCTTAACCGCACTTCTTTGGGTACAGTTGAGACAAACAATTAGCATGTTAAGGATCATTACGTCCTGTAATAACATGTTACTTCAAAAAATTCTGTTCATTCCAGCTTTCGTCCTATCTGTTTGCTGAATGACTTTGATGTTGCATGCCAGGGACCAACTGTGAAATATTTTTAGAATAATTACAAATCTTACAATAAATTGTCTATAATTCTTACCTATAGGTTAACTGGCTTAAATAGTTTCCATATAAGATATGTCCCTTACATGATATGATAAGGCTAATTAATCAAGAGTTAAATCACTGTTTATTTTCTTATTGTGTTACTAGGAACATAGAATTTAGTGGTAAATGAATAAGATGAGGATTTGGTCTTCATGGAGATTATGCTAGAGAGAAAATTCTAGACATGCACATCTGGAAAACTCATTGATTTCCTCAACCTTTCTCTTTGTACTTTGCTCCAATTATCTATGCTGTATAATAAAGCACCACTGTCTTAGAGTTTATTGCTGTGAAGAGACACTATAGTCATGACAACTCTTATAAGGACAACGTTTAATTGGGGTTGGCTTACAGTTCAGAGGTTCAGTCCATTATCATTGTGGTGAGATGTATAACAGCACAAACCCCTACATAGTGCTGGAGAAGAAGCTGAGAGTTCTACATCTGGATCAGCAAGCAGCAGAAGAAGAGAGAGTGAGCTACTTGGCTTCCTTTGAGCTTCTGAAACCTCAGAGCCCACCCCCAGTGACATACTTTCTCCAACAAGGCCACATTTACTCCAACAAGGGCATACTTCCTACTAGTGCCATTCCCTATGGACTAAACATTCAAACACATGAAGCTATGGGAGTCAAACCTCCTATTCAAACCATCACTACCACCAGTCATTTTCTGGCTCCCCAATTCTACCATTTCGTCTGGGCCTGCTCCACTGGGTTAGCCCATTTAGAATGTTTTCACTCCTTCCTGCCCTTCTGATGGGTGGGGCCCAGAAACGTCTTTCTGTCTTTTGTGAGAGTCCGTTACATTTTGGAGTTTATCCATTGCTTTATCAGACCTCTTGCCCTTCAACCAGGCAGTCAAATTTCTTTACATTATTGTTAACTTAAAGAAAGGCTGTAGGTGAAAAGTGCAGTGTCTTAAGATCTAGTTCCAGAAGTCTCCTTGGCTCCTTATACTATGCAGTCTATTGGTCACAAGTCTCATGTCCAGTCCAGATTCAAGGGCAAGGAAATAGATCACATCTTGGTAGGAAAAGAGGGGACATGTGTATGTAAGGGTAGGTGTTAGTGTTGGTGGCTATCTTTATAGATAATCTACTACATGCTTCCTCAGAAGTGAAGAGAAATAATATAACACTTTCCCCAAATCTGATTAAGGCTTCACAGTCTTTGCTATTCAGCTGTCAGCTTGTCTGCAACAGAAACAGAGGAACGTGACTAATTTCCAAACAAATAGATCCCTTTTAAGCTCCACTCTATTCCTTTTTTTATGACTACATTTAGAAAACAATTTAACTTCTAAGATTATAGTGACTTTGCAGCAAGTTTTCAAGAAAAAATAAATAGTATATCTTATTATTTATATTTTCAAGCCCTGTTTTAGGTATATGAATACAGATATAAAACCACAGACATCTTGAGACTGGAAAGGACTTTAGAAATGTTGCCTTTCACATCCCACATTCCACAGAGCAGGGCACAAAGGCCCATGCAAGGTCACTGTGACGACGTTAGAATTTATACTTCTTTGTTTTGGTTAGAAGGGTTATGTTTAGAAAAATTGTTTTTTTACATTTTTGTATATGATTTTTAGATATTCTTGTTAACATTACTAAAAACTGTATAATCTTGGTTTTTCACTAAAAAAATATAAAGAATTATGCTGTCAGATTCATACCTATAATTTTTCCCAATTGTTTATTTGTGATGTAGATCCCTGAGTTATGGTGCTATAGGAGTAATTGTGGGCCATGAATTTACACATGGATTTGATAATAATGGTAAGTACCAGTTCCTTTTATGAGCTTTTCCATTCTATAATAATGTTGATTGTATGGTGTTAATTGTTGTTATTATCTTTTCAAAGTGGCATCATCATAGATTGACGATTATCCCAAGAAATATGATTGCTGATTGCAAACTTTTCTCATGTTTTGTTGTGATAGCTTGCAATAAATAACTATTCCAGTTGATGATCAGGGTAAAATGAAAAAAAAAAAAAAACCCAAGGCTTTGTAGTTTCCATAAAAGCCCCTTTGCATTTAGAACAGTATTGCTGGGGCTGCTGCAGTGGCTCCAGGAATCATACTGTAGATTTCCCTCTTTGTTTTTTTCTCCTTGCCATCTTAGGTTGTTTTCCCTGGAGGTGTGAGCTCTGCCCCTGAGATGATTGCATGTGCTGCTTAATTAGGAAGTTAGCCTTGGGAACTCAGCTGCCTGATTGCTTTGTATACTTTCAAGTGCTTCTTTTCTGTTTCTCTTTATGTTGGCATATATTCACAGTTAATAACACACAAATATGCTCTGTATCCTGGTGGTGTCTAAGCAAAAGGGAGATTCGAGATAAAAACAACTAAAAGTATCTCCTTTGGGAGTCATCATTTTAAAAAGTTTTTATGACACACTTTGTGTGTGTGCGTGTGTGTGTGTGTGTGTGTGTGTGTGTAGATCAAGGGACAACTTGCAGGATTAGTTCTCCCCTTCCCATGTGTGTTCAAGGTATTGAAATCAAGTCACCAGACTTAGTGGTAAGTGGCTTTAAATCATCATTTTTTTTTAAATTTTCAGAGTATTGCTGGACAGTCTCTCTCTCTCTCTCTCTCTCTCTCTCTCTCTCTCTATCTCTATCTCTATCATCTCTCTCTCTATCTCTATCTCTCTGTCTCCATCTCTGTCTCTCCCCCCCTCCTTCCCTTTTGCTCTGAAATAGCATTCAGACTAACACAGTGATTTGTAGACAGCCTTAAAAATCTAGTAAGACCAGGTAATCTCCAACATCTTTTTCTGGATGCCCATTCTGGGATAAGAGAGAAATTGGCTTCTTTTTCTTCTGAATAATTATTACATCTCACCAACTCTTTCTTAATCCCCTCTTTGTCTCACTTCCCCTTGCTCCTCTGGTCTCATGCTCCCTGTTAAAGTGTAGCTGCCTTGTAATTACTGGAGTTCTCAGAGCAAGCCTTTTTGCCATTGAGTATTTAGATTATCTAACAGAAGATTCTTAACTAAGAAACAAAGGCATGTGGTGCTCAATTAGTTCTGGACCTTTCTTCTGGGTCTCTCCCACAGGATGGAATCTAATGGTGGCGATTTCATCCTATGAACAGTGCATAGTACAATGTATTGCAGTATGAGTACAGGCCTAGTAACTGATGACTGATGTGTTAGTGGGTGGAGGACAGTAGCTCCATTCCTGGAGGGTAGTATTAATAGCAAGCAGCCGAGCTGAAGAGCTTTGGACTTTTCCAATGAATACTTTTGCTTAGGGGTCCTTCCATGTATGTTTTATCTTACAAGCTTTTCCTTTGGAGGCTCTTAGGTAGGAAACTTTCTGTGTAATTAAACTGAAACTATGCCTTTGATTCTAGTAGTATCCTTGAAAATAGGAGACTTATACCCAAATCATTGTTCTGGAGGATATAGAGAAGATAAAGAATGAGAGACCATGTAGAAACCTCTCTCTGTTACGTTCTGGAGATTTCCATCCCTGTTCCAAGTTCTCTTTTTAGAGCAACATTCCTCATCCAAGCAGGACAGATGGGTCTTCTATCCACACTGATGACTGTGGAATGATTCATAACAGAGTTTATGTGTCTCTTGGCTCCTGGCAACTTAGAGGAAGCAGGTTGCTATAGGGCTGAGTCAGGTTCTGTGGTCCTATGGTTTGGATGACTCACTAGGGCTGTTCCTATGGATTATTTGGAATTTCACTGGTAGTGATACTTCAGTTACCTCTGCTCTTTGAAGGAAGGAAACTAATTTTGCTTGCCAGAGAACATTTCAGGTCAGAGGAGATGAAAAAAAGGAAGCCAAGATTGGAGAAGACTGGTGCATGTGTTAAATTGATGAATCTCATTTTTAAAATGTCCTTTGTTCGTTTCAAGGAAAGAACTCAATTCTTTGCCTCCTTTCCCTGCTTTTTACAATTAAATTAATCCATGACATTGGAGATGTTGTGGGAGCTAATCTCAGGAATAGTGTCCTGTGCTGTCAGGACTGGTTTAGAGAAGTATGTAGAGGTAAAGAAAAGGAAAGATGATTTCAGCTTTTATGAAGTAACACGAATTTCTTGTAACCTTCCTTTATGTCAGGCAGAAAATATGATAAAAATGGAAACCTCGATCCGTGGTGGTCTGTGGACTCAGAAGAAAAGTTTAAGGAAAAAACAAAATGCATGATTAACCAGTATAGCAACTATTATTGGAAGAAAGCCGGCTTAAATGTGAGTACAGCTGCGGCTGTGTGCATGCGTGTGGGAAACCTTGTGGGCTATTTTTCTTCATTTAGACATTAGCTTGCTTTAGTCCATTGGTTTTCCAAGCATGCTTCTGGGATCCACAACATCTGCCTTCCCTGAGGACTTGTTAGAAATACAAATTCTTGATTCCTGCCCAAACCTGCTGAATCTCTAGGGGTGGAGCCTGATAATCTGGGAGTCTTTCACAAGTGCTCAGGTAGTTCTAACAGACTTTGAATGTGGAGAATCACAGACCTACACATTAGTGACATCACAAATTCCTAGCACAAATAAACAATGACATTCTTAAAAATCTCTCACATTTCATATTGTAAAAAGAAATACCACCAGGCTTAATTGGCTGAATAAAAGGCCTCATCATTTTGAACCAAAAGATCTGAGAATTGAGCATTAGTTCTAAAAATTTGAACAAAAAACTGTACTTTTGAAATATTCATTTTGTGCTATATGTATGTATATAATCTTCCATGAAGACAAAACACAATTTTATCCATGTTTTGAGGATGTAAAATTTTTTCCTTTCCTTTTGCCTTTATCTTTGTCTCCTTTCCTTTTCTCTCTTATCTTCCCTGACCATAGTCAGTGTTAATAACCTTGATACACTTTTCTCCAGTGTTCAGGTAAAGATAGACACACACAGCTTTAGTTAATTGCTTCTGGAAATGGCCAAAGAATTCCTGGTGTGAATACCATAACTTAGTCAATTAAACTCTTACCCAAGGGGACAATTTTCAGTTAGAAATGCTGATGCAATAAACATTTTATTATGCATATGTTTTTTTTCCTGTGGGATACATTTCTATTGCCACCAGAATTAAATTTCATATTTTCACCAGTGATGGATAAAAAATTATATATCTATGGAACTTTACCCTTTTTTGTCAATTATGAGAACCACTAAAATAATAGGACCTTTTAAACTTCTGTTGTTCACATTATAGGTATTTTCCTCAAATGTATTACTTATCTTTCAGATTTTTCTTTCTTCACTATCTTTTGACATACAAAATCCAAACATTTTTAAAATTCCAAGATACTTAATCTCTCTTAAAATCACCTTTTGTTTTCGTGTTATGGCCTATGATGATGTCTCCTCTACTCAGATTGCATAGGAAGTTACCCAGTTACTGTTCTTTTGCTTTGATAATACATTAAAATCAAGACAACTTCTAAAAGAAAACATTTAATTTGAACATTACAGTTCAGACTGTCACAGCCCATGGCTATCATGATGGGGAGCATGGCAGCAGGTAGACAGGATGGTGCTGGAACTGTAGTTGAGAGCTTACATGTTGAGTCAACAACCATAAGTCAGAGGGAGGAGTGAGGGAGGGATGGAAGGAGAGAGAGAGAGAGAGAGAGAGAGAGAGAGAGAGAGAGAGAGAGAGAAACAGGAGTGACAGAGAGAAAGAGAGTGAGAGATTCAAGTTAACTGGGAATGGCATGGGCTTTTGAAACCTGAAAACCTATCTCTTGATGACACACTTCTTATTACAAGGTCATACTTCTCAATCCTTTCTAGACAGTTCCATCAACTGGGGACCAAGTATTTAAATATATAAGGTCACTTAAACCATCACTGGAGATGCTTATTTTTCCCCCAGAAAAGTTTTTTTTAATTGTTCTGATATTTTACATTTGACTCTTTATGAATATGAGTTTTATTTTTTTTGTGGAATCTAGTATAACTCACTTACTGTTGCGTCTGTGTTAGAGTTTAGACTGTATCACTCCAGAGTCATACTCACATGACTGTATCATGCTCTTGTTCACTTATTTTATGTTTATCCATATGTGTGTGTGTGTGATTAGATAATCAAATATATATTTATTATGTTCTTCACCATCTGTTTGCTTGCCCAAAATGTCAGATACTGAGATGTAATTTTGAAAATGGGACAATGATAATAAGAGCCTATCTGTCTCAACATAAATTTATTCAATTATCAGAAAACTGCTTCAGTCTCATTCCCATAGAAAGGTTTAAATGTATGTGTGCCTGTGTGCCTGTGTTCCTCTCTTTCTGTGTGTGAGTGGGCGTATGCATGTGTGTGTTTATATGTATGTGATTCTTTTGTGGACATAAATGGTCAGGCTTTATTTTCAGGTTTTATTAGTATGAGTCAGTCCTCTGTGCCTGATTTTTCTTTGCAGTGACTAGGGAAGAATTTAGTTGAGTCGCTACAGATGCAGAATGTCAGCAGGCAGCGCATCTGTAGGGGTCAAGCCTGGTCTCCTGTGCTCTACTGCAGTGGTTCAGAGTATGAGGCATTAGAGGGATGGGGCCACTCCAGAAGCTTATAATTTAGATGGAAAGTTTAGAATGAAAAGGAAGGAGATAGATTCAAGCATGTGTGAATATAAATAAATATAAATGTAAATATAAATATATATAAAGATAATTGAGACTTGAGAAAGCACGTGTTATACAACAAAAGCTCCAGAGATAGAGGTCTACTTGGGTTCAAATACCTGACGAATGTATTTTTCTTAATTATTCTGTCTTAGAGCAACTTCTTTATAAGCAAAATCCAAGAAGGGATTCCTTAAGTGAATGATTCACAGAGAAAATAGTTCATGCAAAAGCAGCTCTTGGCTCTGAGGGAAACTGAGCATTACTCTTGCTACTAAATAAGAATCTAGAGAATGCACCCCAGAAGTTGTTCACCTCAGGGACAAGGGGCTGGGCAGCTTTACCAGCATATCAGTTAGTCACTGGAAGGTGAGCTATGCTACTTCCAAAGGCTAAGGTGGTTGCAAATTCTTGGTAGGGAAGGAAATGTACTGGGTGGCTCTGAAATCATATGCATACAGGTAACTTTCTATGAATTTGCAATTAGAGAAACAGAGGCCAAGAATTTGAGAGGGAGCCAAGAGAGGGATGCATGGGGAGGATTGAAAGGAGGCAAGGCTTATGATGTAACTATTTTTTTTTTTAGTTTCTTCTCCTTCTTCTCCTTCTCCTTCCTTCTCCTTCCTTTTCCTTCCTCTTCCTCTTCCTCCTCCTCCTCCTCCTCCTCCTCCTCCACC